ACCATACAATAAAAAGAGTCTACAATGGATTAGTACAGCATTTCAGTATAATTTTTATCCTGGAAAATCTTATAAGGTGATATCTGTAGAAAGCATGACAGAAATCTATAGATACCTGGGAGCAGATTGGAGCTGTATGTCAGCATGATGCCCTCTGTCCCACTGTGCAGCTCGGGGGAAGGCAGGGGCTGATTAATCCACAGCCTGGATGATCCCCTCGCAGACATTCCCCTCTGAATCAATCTACTTGTGCACCACATCAGGCTTTTAAGAATTGTTCAAGTACAGGCCATTGCTCAAACACTTGAGCAGTAAGAAACCGAGTATTTAAAAAAATAAATTTGAATTTAATTAAAACAAAACAAGACAAAAGAAAGTTGGTGTTTTGGCTTTTATTTCTAGAATGAACTGTATTCTTGCCTGAAAGTATTTGGTAGGCTAGAAACTTTGATTGTATTACTTGAAGGGCATCATGGTGAGAGAACTGCTACATTGCTGAATCCAAATGAGAAAAAATACATCCTCTATCACAAACAATACCCCTATATTAATATTAGGTAGGGTTATTTTTGCTGTTCTGTTTTACTAATCTGCTGTTCATACCTCCAATATTAATATTTGCCCTTGTGGCAGCCAAAATAGGTAACAGTACTTTGATTTCTGCTGATAAAATAATTTTACATAGTAAATACCAAGAATTAAAGCAAATATATATTTTTTGACAATCCTGAATTTTCCTCTCAAGAGTTGTAACTTCTAGCTAGCAATTTACTCTCTGAAAAAAAATCAAATAACATTCTGTATTTGGCTGCAACTTTTGTGTAAGTGCAAGCAACAACTGCAGTATTTTTTTAAATGAGCCACACTGATAGCTTTGCACTTCCTTGAGGCCTCTTCTCTTCTCACTGAATGAACTCCAGGGAATGGCATCATGTCGGGCTTTCCAGATGGATTATGTGAAGCCATAGCTCAATGTCATTTTCAATAGCAAGGCTCATAATTAAAGGTCAAATAGTCACTTCATCTGCAATCAATCAATAGAAGAAGTACTAATACTAAGTACTAATCAATCAATGGCAAATGCACTAATAAAAGCCATGCATCAAATGTCTGCATATGTGTGTGCTCACATGTACCGTGCATATATGTGAGCAGGGAGGAGGAGAGAAAGGGAACAATGTGGGGGTGAAAATGCCAGAGGCCATTGTGGATACTATATTTATCTTGGCTTCCTTGCAAGTTTACATCCTGCTTCACTCTTCAGGTGAAATGGAAATAAACATTGGTTTTGCTGCATTTGTGATGCCGTTTATTCAAAACCCTGCTGAAGCACCCACCTCCATGCAGAGGTACTGGCTTGTGCTCCGAACTAAGGAACACAAAGGCACCTACCCTGTGTAATTTGTCCTTACACAAACACGCCCTGCACTCTGATCTTTGAGACAAAAAGTGTGTCAACTGTTCTGTCTACAAAATAAGACCCAGCATATGGGAACAGCACTCATCTCCGTGCAGAGCAAGCACTTATTCATGGATGCAACAGTGGAAGTGGCAGTTGGCCTCATGAGCATGCACTGCATGGGAATTAGTTGGTTTCATAATATGGTGTGGGAGACAAAAGTCTTCTCATGCCTCTTCTATTACCACTTCTAAAGCTTTAAAGCTGTCAGCTCTTCTCCCACTTTAGTTGGTGCCATTCTCAGCTCCCCTGGGAATGGGCCAGACATACCTATTTGGAGTTTCACCTGCCAAGCTGAGAGAAATCAGTTTCAAAGCGAAAGTACAAGTGTTGGGGGGTCATTTACACGTTACCACTGGATCTTGAAGACAAACAAAGCAGAGCTCCACAACAGATGTGAAATGAGAGCGTGAGCCGTGTTTGTGCTTTCAGGCACTGCAGTGACAGAGGGGGAAGGAAAAGCTCTCTCTATCATAAGATCTCTCGTTGCATGGTTTATAACACCTAAGGACAAGCAGAAATGTGCCAGAACGGCAAAAGAGTAAGGGTCAAAATGCCTGTGTTTATCTTGTTTCTGCTAAGACCAGGGTGGACACAGAAAGATTTAAGTGTCATTCAGAAACAGCTAATCCTTAAAAACCAATTGGACCTACTCTGCTCCCACATTCAGTGAAGGAAAAAATGCTGCCTGCTCTGTTAACGTATCTGTTTGCATCATCAGCTCAGGCACATGCCTCATATCACACTCTGGTTTTGTAAAAGCCAATATTCCTTATTTTCACATAGATTTGTTTTTATACAGCTCTATGTTATCTGGAACTGCTACTAACACCAAAGAGAATAAAATATCAGTGGTTCCAAACTCAGCCAGCTGGAGTCTGATACACAGCAGGAACACCTGGACACCCGTGGAGCAGGGGTGCACACAAAACCAGCAGGTTCTTCAGGCTTACCAAGGGGACAGGCTCCTAGGGGACTGCCAAAAGGAGCATTTCCCCATTCCTCTCCCAGGATGACTGGAAAGCAGTCTGCCCCAAAGCTGACAGAACAGTCTACAGCTCAGAAACAGCCCCACAGTACCATGTTCCACTGTCTACCTGTTCACTTCAACCTGCACATTTATACAGGGGATATCTGGACTAGGGGAAAAAGGTATTTATGGCTGGGGAGAAGCTGCAGGAATCCTTGAAGTCAAGGTGGCCAAAGTATTTTTGCCAGTGTACTTGGCGAAGAAAGCTGCAGAATACAAAAGCTGGCTCATGAGGCTATGCCAATATTAGCAGTAACTTGGAATTGGAAAAATGTGAGCCAAAAGGTCAAGGGAGCTAGGAACTTCAAACTAAGTTCTTCTAAAAAAGAAAATAACATAAAAAATTGAGAGTGTAGTAGCAGAAGAAAAGTGAACTGACTCAGCTGTGTGCACAGAGTCAGGTCAAGACAGGCTGCATAAGGATGCTTGGTAGAGTGAGTAAAAGAAATGAACAGTCCTCATTTTTTGGGGGGTGATGGCAAGCCCCTTTAGGACTTAAATATTTAAAAAGGCTTTGTGCTTATTTTCTTAGTGTCATGGCAAGCTGGCAGAAATATGCAACAGAGCATACATAAAACTATTCTCTCCGGGGAGAGAAGGGGAAACTTGCACATTTGTGCTGTTAAACACAACCAGCTTCTCCAGCTTTTCTTCTGTAGTATCACAGTTGTGCCCTGAGTTCATACACTTCCAACAGAAAGCACAGCAGTGTGTTATGACTTATGTGGGCAGTTGCTTTCTACAAATACAAGAGTAACTGTCTTGAATGCAAGCTCATTTATTAGTCCAAGCTCAGTTTCGTAGAACATTTGGCTGGAAAAGACCAATGTCATTTAATCTATGTTCTGCTCCAAGGCAGGATTAACTCCAGCTATTTAATTCCCATCTGAGGCTTGTCTACAATGATAGGAGATTGAAGACATCAATAGGCAACATATTCCAAAGCTGAACTGTTTTACACTAGACAGGTTTCCCTGATTGTTAGCTTAAATCATCATCACTGTAAGAAAGTCCTTCCCTTTACAAAGTCCACTGTGACAGAGTCACTTTCTTCCTTTTATGCATTTGAAGATCACTGCAGTATTTCAGTTATCTTCCCTCAACAATGCCAACTGCCTCAATCTACCTCTGGGGTCATGTTTTTGAGGTCTATGATCATTCACGGCACTCTCTTCTCATTTCTTTCCAGTTAGTCCACATAATTTTTGAATTGTGGAGCCCAAAACCTTGTGCAAATATCAAAAGCCGTAACATTCTCAAGCCACACAACTTTTGCTGCTTCCCTGAACCCACAGGACCCTGTCTGAAAGGAAGGTAGCTTAGTTTAGTATGCTATGTATTTGACAAAGCTATGGCACTGTTACTCATTTCCTTGTTCTTCCTACACTTTTAAAATAATTTATTTAATGACTTGGTTCAGTAGTTTTCTACAAAATGAAGTTCAAACTCACTGATCTATAATTCCTCATCCCCTCCTCATTTCCACTGTAAAAAAGAGACATTTTATTTGACTTTTCCTTGTCTTCCAGGAACTCCTCCACTTCCCACAGACTTTCAAAGGCACTTGCTAACAGTTCTGCAGCACAGGCCTGGCTGAAGCAAAGAGCCCAGAGGTGAATTTTGCTCTACCAAACCAACCTGGAAAACACCTAAGTCCCAACTTGTTCTTCCCCTGTTTCCAGCTGAGCTCTTACCTTTGTCATTGACACTAGCTGTGCTCCTCTTTCACAGATACACTCTTGCAAAGAGTTAGATATTCAGTCACATGGGCTTTACCAAACATCTGTTTTTATAATCTGAAAACAATCCACTTGTGTCCCCGACTGAACATAATGGATGAACCAGTAGCAAGTGGCTGAAAGCATTTCTGATTTAACAGTATTTCCTGAATATCCATCAGAACATTCTATTATCACTATGGGGTCATAAGTGACAAATACATCTATGATGTTTTGATAAATGAATGCCAGAAAATAAAGCTATCCAAAGTATCTGCAGACTTCAACACATACATTTTGCTCATGTTAAGCAAAAGAGTATTGTCTATTTGTGATTTCTGAATACACTATGTCCTCTATTTGTGATTTCTGAATACACTATGTCCTTTGATTTTCAATTGTACATCCCAGCTTTTAGCTGTAAGATTTTACTGTCAAACTGGGCAGATACACCTAGTCATGTCTTCAGAAACAAACCTGAAATTTTATCAGCATTGGATTAGGCAACAGAACTGAATAAGAACAGAAAGAAAAATACAGCTTTCCACAAATCAGGCAGTCTTACTCTACAACTACTAAAATCTCAGCTGAGAAGATTGTATTCTCTGCCCTGTAGGAAGCACTAATTTCACCTGTGCAAGAATATTGTCCTACTATTAGTATCGTACTGGTAGCAGTACTTGTCACATTAAACCCAAAACCATTTAAGCAGAAAAACCAGCAACTTAACCAATTTTTTTTTCAACACAGCAAGGCATGAATGTTTTGCTCACAAGCTTATCTCCTGACTTACCCAGGGTGAGGGATTTGTGGGTGGAACAGAAAACGATAGCCACTGTGTCTGCTGGTGTGAAAGTAGAGTTATTCCTACAAAACAAAAGAGTTTTAATAACCTCTGATAGCAAAAACCTTCTTAAAACAGCATCTATCAAAATTATTACTTTGAGGATCCATATACACGTTCACATCACTTTGATCAGTCTGGTGACAGAAATAATTCCACCCATAAATGAACAGTAGTGCTTGATTTATTATTTTTTTTTTTTTAGCAGAATTGTTTCTCTGTTGTGGCAAGCTCTCTAATGAATACACTCCCATGTGAAGGATAGAAATTTTGAAGAAATGGTGTGTAGGACACAACTTTATTCCAGCCAAGTTTATTTTGTCAAACACACAAAAATGTCACAGCAGGAGCCACGTGCCTCCACAAAAGAAGAGAAAATGACCTATTATTTCTTTTTCTAGTATGGAACAGTAACAAAATGCTCAGTTTGGACAATATATTGAGTCTGCACTAAGGAGTTTGCTTCCACTTCAGAGAAAAACTGTATCTAAGGGTTTAAACACTGGGACTAAGGCCAGGAGGGGTGGGAAAATGACATATATATATATAGAGAGAGAGAGAGAGAGATATGACTGGCCAATGGATCACACTTTGCTCTAAATTAGGAGTAATTCTATGAGATTCTAAATATTTACCATACTGAGTTGGTTACTGCCTAAGGTATTTTACATTTCACAGTTGGGGCATATCTTCCACCCAGGTTAGGTCTAGCAGTCCAGAAGTTATTTAAAAATGCCTTTTAAGGCCAGGATATGATCTTGTCACAGAGAAATTTTCTTGTGGCACTAAAAAAGCCTAAGTAGCTCTAAGACACTGTACCCTTCTTTGTGATTCTCCCTTATGGATATTGTTTAATTTATATAAAGCATATGCTTGGAGTCTGCTGTATTGTGGCACTCTCCTTTCAGCAGAGTGCTGCTAAACAAATATTCCAGTAAGCCTAAGTGAGAGGACAGCTGTGGCTATTCCAACCAGCACCAGTGATGCCCTGAGTCACTGGCTAACACCATTCTTACAGTACTAGTTTTTGAGAAGTGAATGTACAATTGCCCTTCCTGGTTGATACTTTAAAAAAGAAAAGAAAGAAAAAAAAAAGCTCTACCAAACATCAGTTCAGGACAGCTGTCTTTTAAGAATCACCATACAAATGTAGCAAATTTGACATATATAGAGAAGAGTGAATTGCCAGCACAGCAAATGTATCTTGAGATGTAAAAAGTCAAACTGAGTTTTCTCTCTCATATGTCATCAGCATGTCTGCAGGGCAAATTATACCTTCAGTGACATCTGTGCAAATCCATTTTTTTCAGTGGATGAGGTATAGCAGTGATTGATTGAGATTTAACAACTCCGTAATTAACACACAAGAAAGGACAGAATTCAGGTCCTGCTCTCTTAGCCTATGACGCTCTAACAGAGAAAATGCAGTAAGGACAATATGAAATACCAAAATGAGGTCACCCCTATTCAAAAACCTGCCTTTATACATTTGCATAAACTTTGTCACCCAAACCAAAGACATCACACAAAAGACATATTCAAAGGTTGGGATTCAGCACATTCATTTACCTTGTGGAGAAGAGGAAAGTCAAAAACATGAAGCTCATCTGAACAGAAAATACTGAAAGAGAAACAAGTTAAAATTAGACCACAATTGTAATTACCATGTCCATGCCTTTTGTTCCCATACTGCAGGTCAGAAATGAGGCTGGACCAAGTCTATCCAGAGAAAGCCACTGACAGACAACCTTTAAAGAGTGCCTGGAAGAACAACACAGATCATTGTATCCAGGGAAGCCAGAATTAATGTTATGGCTGCAAAAGTTCTTCCTGGGGTAGATCCTCTGAATCAAGTATTTCTTGACACAATGAATGGCAGGAATTAGTGCATATGCTGCACATCTCTTTGCACAAGTTTTGCTTATTGGGTTGACAACATAAAATCTGTCAGACACGCTCTGTTTGCTGGGCATTTAGACTTGCTATTTTACAGGAGAAAGCACAGTGTGTAAGGATGATCCAAAAAACCATTCCCAGCCCTGGGTATATAAATCATGATCATTCATGGGGAGAGGAAGAGAAGATCATCATAGATGTTTGAATTCTCTCTGAGACAAAGGCTAATTCCTGGGCTGGGCACTGTGTGTCAGACATTTCCTTCAAGCTCACTCAGCTCTGTAAGTGCAGGTGGTTGTGAGCATCCCAGGGGGAGCTCTTCTCTCTGCCAGCTCTGCTGACACCCACAGGGGCTCTGGGGGGCACAGAGCCCACCCTTGGACTGCAGAGATACAAGGAGCAGCTTCCATGAGTAGCTGCAGAGACCGAGCATCAGCATCAGCATGGGGAATCCCCACAAGGCTGAAGGAGAGACCCTGTGACTGCACAGGCCTTTTCTGAGTTTGAGGGTTTTGGGGGAAAGGCTTTTACTTGCAGCAGAATCTGGGGTGGGTCCTCTCCCTACTCCTTGCAAAATTTGTGAATGCTGACATGCCCCATAGGGCAGTGCAAGTCAAGAGAATGCATTTGATTTTGATCCCAGTTTACAACTGGGAAACATGGCAGGGATATTAGCTATTACCAGTGACATTTTCTATTCTCCTACATACATTTCCTAGAATGTATAAATGTCACCTCAGCATGCACTTAATTCCTCCTTCATGAACTAAAGGAGCAATCCATTTTTCCTGAATTATATTTTTTCTCCAACGAAGTACATTAATTTAATATGCACAGAAAAAACCAATCCCTTATTACACATAATTCTGTAAAGCAATAAGCATATGTTGCTACCAATTATTCCTCGTGAATATTTTGCTGTGGCTAGAATATTAGCATAAAAATTACATAAAAACATTAATCAGCAGAATAACAAACTCAGTTTCACCTCAAACTCCTCATGCTAGTTTCACTTCCTGGTGTAACACAATACACACATCCAGCTGACACATCCAATGGTGATACAGAAATTTCTTGGAATACAATGTGCATACCCATCACCAAAACTTCCTTGGTTCTTGGTTTTATAAATATTCCAGAAAAAAATCCCCAACCAATTGTCTAATATGTTCCAATGCTTATGTTAATGTTCTTACTAAGAAATTCCAGTAATGCCCACTGGCAATGAACACGTAGATATGACTTTCAGTGTATTCCACAGCAAACATTTCATTCCACATGGCACAAGTACAGAGTTGTCTTGAAGAGAAATAAAGGGTAAGCAAGGCAGCAGAAGCAAACACTATACTTCAGCTGTTCTAGGAAGAACATGTCTTCTTGAAATAAAAAAGGAACTTTTTTTTTTTCCAAAGTAGTGGTCAGCAGAGTGCCATAAAATTACTTCATTCTGGGTTTCTCTGCACATTGAGTTGAAAATCTCTGTACTATTCTTTTTTGCTGACAACTTTGCACTGATTTAAGTGCAAGATTCTTCTTGGGTGCCAGTGCAAAGTATTTATTCCATTTTGAAAAAAAGTTCCATAGCATTGCTTCCTACTCCTTTGCTTTCAGAATGAAACATTTATATTGTACCACTTTTAATTCCATGTATTATTTTACACAGATATAGTGTTTCATAATCCCAAAAAAAAACCACAATTAGGAGAGAATTAAGATCTGATGCACAAAGGGCAGGGGCAAATTTCCTACTGGCTATAGTAGAGGTCAGATTTGTAGAAGATACATTATTTTTATTAGACAGAAGCATATGCAGACACACGACTCAAAGTAGGTGATAGTGTGATCTCTTGAAATCTAACAGTTTTAGAGTATGAGATGTGATTTATACTGAAGCATACTGTAGTTACCTCTCCTCCATGCAAATTGAAACTCCTGTCTGTGGACAGTCTGAAGCAAGATGGGAATTCCCTGCTGGGAGAGGAGACAGTGCCTGTACAGCACTGCCTTTCCCTGGGAGGGAGGGAGGGAGGGAGGGAGGGATCTGCAAGCGTGTTTCCAGCTGATGGCAGGGATACCAGCAGCCTATTCTCACGTGGATGTTATTTAAGGCTGAATGACCTGAGTGCTTCTAAAAGAAACTCTAAGAAACGTGCTCATCCACAGAAACAGATCAACACATTCAAACTCCCAACTAGTTTCTAGGATTATAACATGCTAAGGAACAGCAGTTTAAAAATTATAACAGTGCTTCTGAGTAACAGCTCAACCCCAAATCTTTTGTTGCTGTTTGGAATGCGACATCTGTGTATTTTATGGCTGTTCAAAAAACAAAGAAGGCAAAACCAAAATGCCAATGAATCTTTGTAAAGTACTACTATGCTCTTTCAGAAAGGAAACAGGCCACAGAGCAACCTCAGGCACACCTAAATAGCAGGGCTCTTTCCTCTCTAAATGCTTACTCAAATCCCTAAATGCATCCAGCTCCTAAGAAGTTTGGCAATCTGGTTTACTAGATGCTTTAGAAGCTCTAACACTGTGCCAGTACCCCCACAGCTCCCCCACTACAGGTAGCTTGTTACAGACCTGAAACACAAAAAAAAAAGAGTCACTTTAGGGCTGAACTTACTTATGAACACAATTATAATCAAGCTAAATTTATCCAGGTCAATATTTGGATTGGCAAAAGTATCGCAGAACGTTGTGTAGATGATCATCAGGAGCACACAGCTGCTGATAGCACCAAATGGAGGCTTCTTCCTTTCAAGCCAGTCCTTGATGTATCTTCGGACAATCTGAAACACAGAAACCAACAGGTTGTCTCTTTTCAAAGATGCAGGGAGCCAAGTTGGGCATCACAAAGTGAATCTGACAGCGGAAAGACACAAAGAGAAGAGAGTAATTTGGATGACGGCCACAGTGGATTTCAAAGCTTCCCTGCCATACAACTCTTCTTCTGGGGAATTTAACATTTGTAGTGCAACTTCCACTGGGCGTCCATAATGAGAGTATATTTTCAAGTGCATTCAAATCCATCCTTAATCATGCCAAATGTTCTTTGCTAGCTGTCACTGAGACATGCCCATTAAGCCTCCCCAAAGTTTATCTCCTCTGCTGATACTAATGGATGTATGTAATTATCACAGTCCCCTTTGCATCAACAGACAATTCCAAGTGCAACTTTGGGAATCTTAAAAATCTGACATCTTCAGGAATTTCATGACGGTGGATAATCGAAAGTGATCCATGGAACATTTTAATATTTAAATAGCCAGCGATGCACCAGAAGTTTTTAATTAAATTATAACTCAAGCTTGAAAAGCAAAAGTGCATGTGTTGTGGGAGTTTAAATAATTCAAACTCTGAATATCTGGAGTTTTTGTAAATCCAAAGACAAATGCCATTTGCACGCTTTTAGAATACCAGAATTAACACATGAAAACAAGGAAACCCACTGTACTTAGCAGAACTTTTGCACTTTCAGGAAACAGAATATGAAACAGTTTTTCAAGAATTTTTTAGAAACAACTATAAATTTTAAAGCAACCTCAACGTTCAAATTATGCTGAATACCACAGCACTAAGCCTCACCAAATACAATGCATCTATTTTAGTCCTGCCTGGGGAGTCGCTTTTAGTTTTTCTGTTTACTTTATATGGTTTGAAAAAACTTTTTAAAGCTTTTATTGTACAGCTGCAACTTGTGTTAATTTTTCAGCAATCACATTATCTTGCCTAATTTCTCCTGAGGCCTCCTGATGTTCTCTGTTACCACACTCTTTTGGAAATCACAGCTCAGGATCCTGAAGCGCTTCTGCCAGAGGGCTCCAAAGGTTTCTCGTGACCTTCCCTTAGTGGTGCCGCTAGCAAACATCACCACCATTGGTTTAATAACACAGAAAATCTTAGAGGTATTCAGGATTAACATCAGGCCATCATCACCAATGCTACCATAGGACCCTTTCACACAACAAATGCCAAAGCCATGGAATCAAGCTGCTCTCAGTTTTCCTCACTGCTTTCCTGGCTTGTTTGCAAGCTTCTCAGCAGGGAAGTCCTGAAGCAGCTATCCCAGTCACCACAGCAGTGAGACTCCATCAGGGCACACACTAAGACTTTGGCACATGGGCTTCATGCCAAGCTAAGCAGGCTGAAGATCAGCACTCACCTCCCAGCACTTGTGGGCTTCCTGCTGATGAAAAATAACATATTTGCAGGGAAATATCTAAGGGAATGCTCAACACCCCAGTGAAAGCACTGAACTTTAAAATGTCACACTTGCCAGATGTTAAGGAGAGAAAATAACAAAAAATATAAGGCCAGACTTCTGAAAGAGCCTCCACTGGAACTCCTTCAGCCACTGAGAAGGAATAAGACACTGCACTGATGAAAGAGACACAAGAAAGTGAAGACATGCAGAGACCAATGTGAAAGACATCCAATGGGAAGTTCAGATAAGTTTAATTCTGAGCAAATTTGGGACTGTAATTATCAGAAGCAAAAAGTAAAGCCTTGCACTTCTGAAGTGAGCAGCTTTTTTTTAACAAAGTTTAAAAAAATCCTATTATCCCTTAAATTGTCACATTGGGGAAAAAGAAAAACTACTTAAGGCCACCTATTAATTTATGGTCCTTCCAGAAGATTTATACTGAAAGTAACGAGATGTTGAAAAAAAAAAAAAAGATGGCTCATTATACCATGGTACAATTTCTAGTAGAAGTATTTAATCCAAAAACTACAAACCTGTACCTGTTCAGGGTCTGATTATAACAGACAAGACAATAACATTATACACATATTTATCCTTGACTGATATAGAAGAGAAATAAAAAAAATATTTAAAAAATGAAACTGCAAGTATTTCCTCAGAATCTTCAATTGAGTGATATCTTCTTTAAATATTCACCTCTATCTACCCTGGAATTTTTGTGAATCAACTCCCATAAATACCAGTACAGCTTCTTACTGCACATTATATATATATTTTTTTTAAATTACATAGTCAGACCATGAAGAACTAAATTGTAACTTCAGGAAATCATCTAATCAACACAGTGTCATGCTAAATGTGCACAAAACACAGATAAAATACATTTTCTCTAAAACAGAATCCCATACATTTTGATCTTCTCACAAGGTTCAACATCTATAATTCCAGAGGTCAATTCAGCTTATAATCACTGATTCAAGGTAACCTAAATTCTTGTATAACTTGATGGGAGAAATATAACCCTACAGAAGCTCATGTCAGCTGATGCACTTTGACTGAAAAACAATCCATTTGTTGTTCATGCCTGGCAGAGCTGCTTCAGGACAAGGATGCTTTGAAAGCCTTTTAATTCTTAACCCAATTCTATAACTTTTCAGGGTAAACAGGGAACTAGAAAAAAAACAAAATTGTGAATATTTGTAGGGAAATAATCATGAATGCCACAAATACAAGAAAGACAACATGCATTCAGAGCCTGGGCTGAGATACTAAAGCTTCATTTGTCTGAAACACAGCAAAAGCTAACACAGTCATTTTTGAACGTTAATATAAACCACTGGTATCCAAAACAGATGCATCCCACTGATGGAAAAGAGCAAAAAGGGGATGCATTGGGTTTTGTGGCAAGGTTTGGTAGCAGGGCAGGCAACAGGGGTAGCTTCTGGGAGAAGCTGCCAGAAGCTTCTCTTGTGACTGGTGGAGCCAGTGCCAGCCAGCTCCAAGGTGGATCCAGCCCTGGCCAAGGCTGAGCTCAGCAATGATGCTGGTAGTGATGCTCTACAAAGATTTTCATGCAGATTCAAATGCCAGCCCCAAAGAGCAGGGAAAGGCTGACCCAGAGGTTGCACATGAAAGAACATGAAGGTGAATCCTTCCCTCAAACTGCAGTTTAGTGGAGAAAACAGCGGGAGAGAAGCAAAAGCTTCGGAGTAGGTGATATTTTATAAATAATCCGCCTGATAAACTCACAGAAAAGTTAGACAATAAAAGAACATAAATGTGTCCAGCAGGCAAGCACCTCCTGAAGACTACATTCTGGCAACCTCCAAAGGTTTTGGAAAGGCATCAGCTCAAATTTGCTTCAAAACACAGTTTCAGGCTCAAACTTTCCTCTTGCCCAGGATTTAATTTTTAACAACAAAGAAATGTAATTACACTTGAGTTAACAGTAGTGTCCCCATTTCAATTTAGTTCTCCTACCAGAATAGTTATATCCACAGTATTTTTCCTGCAGACTGCTCTGTATCCTGCCATAACCTTCTTGTCTAAACACCAACCTTCCTAAGCAAACGGGCTCACTGCTCTAATGCTTATTTCACTTAACATCCTTGGGCAAAGAAACATGATCTGCTGTTCCAGGAAAGCAGGCAAACAGTGCTCATCTGTTATTAGATCACACATGAAAATAGCAGTAGGTGTGTTCCAGGAAAACAGTTCACTTCTCTAATTGTACCTTCAAAACAGTCACACCATATGCCCAGAGGAATCTGTCAGTAAAATACAGCTAGACTGTTTCTACCTGTCTGCCCAAGTGCTGGACACACAAGGTAAAAAATGCAATAAACAATGTAATACGTTAATGTTCATTATTAATTGATCTAAATAGGGCAAGGAACTTCCCCCCCCCCCCCCCCCGCCCCCCCCCCCCCCCCCCAACCTTGTATGGAGTGGAGTAATTTCTGACATTAGTCATGCGGTACAACTTCTAAAAATTATCTACATCTGTAACTTATTTGTTTATTAAACCCAAGAATTGAAAAAAAAAAAAAAAACAAAAAACAAATCCAAACAACCTAAACCCCCCCAAGGAAATGGATAGGAATCACCTTTTCTGTTTCCATTATACACAAGAGCCTCTCTTGGTATTTACATCATTATGTAAAATAGATTTTTCCTAATTCTACCAATTATTTTGGACTGACCTCCCCTTTAACAGAATTTACAGTGGTTTTACTGCACTTCTGCTCCTTTTTATTGTGTATTGGTATGTTCTTCTAAATACTTGGGAAAACCACCTGGGACTTTACCATCTCAGCAAAGGAACACAAGTCACCTTTTCCTTGTGTTCAAACACATGAGTAAACAAGCTGAAATTGCTGGATTATCACCACACCTAAATGCAGCAGTTACCCTACTTAATTTGTCTTCTAGGGCAAGATTCCTAAGTCAGTCTTAATTAATATTATTACTACTTATAGCAACAGACTTATGCAATGAAGTCTAAAATACAAAATTTTGTTTTGAAAATCTTTGAGTCAGGGTAGATATTTTCAACAGTCCTGTAATTTTTCCATATCTCTTATATAGTGATGGTAAACCAAGAAAGACAATTGCAGGGAATATTGGGAACTAGGTCAGTGAAGTCTGTAAAATATGAAAGGTGAGAAAATTTGAACAAAAAAAAAAAAAAAAAAGAAAGAAAATCAACTAAGATGACAGCAGCTGTAAAAACCAGTGTAAAGAATCAAATTCTGGAATGGAAGAGAGATTAATTTGGTTGTATAAAAATATAAATGAAATAAGATGCTAAGATGGACATCATTCACAGATTTCTATAGCATAACCAGCCCCCACATATACAAGGTCTGCATGCCAGTTCAAATGCAGACTCTTTTATAAAGCAAAACTTGCACCACCTCAGCCAGACCCTGTCCTGATATTTTTAGAGGGGTTTTACCTCTGTGGAGGCATAAATTCCCACCTTTTCCTGAATACTGCTGTAAAGGTTCAGATTTTGTGATGGCTCACCTGCTTTCCTAGGACATCATCAAATATCAAATCTATCCTTAAGCTACAGAGTGTGCA